AGCGAAGATGATCCTGTGGGATTTCCAGATCCGGAGTGACAAGATGGTAATGGTGAACCAACCGGATATTGAGATCATAGATAAAGGGCAGAGGAAAACCGTTGTTATGGATGTAGCAGTCCCAAGTGATGGAAACATCAGAAAGAAGGAACACAAGAAACTCGAGAAATACCAAGGGCTCAGAGAGGCGCTGGAGAGAGCCAGGAAGGTAAAGGTGACAGTCGTGCCAGGAGTGGTCGGCGCACTCGGGGCAGTGACCCCCAAACTAGATGAGTGGTTGCAACAGACCCCGGGAACTACATCGGACATCTCAGTCCAGAAATGTGCAGTGCTGGGAACAGCGAGGATACTGTGCAGAACTCTCAAGCTTCCTGGCCTCTGGTAGAGGACCTGAGCTGAATGGGGGACGGACACCACCCGAGGGGTGAGACGGGGATTATTTTATATAATGCAAAATCCTTAAGTATTACTGTATGACATAATTAACAATGATAATTTTGGAATTCATGACAACAACAACAGAAAATACTCTTCAAAGCACTCAAAGAAAACTTCAGCATCGAAATGAGAAGGTAGATGAAATACAATTTGCCTGATGAAGCCTGATTCAATGGGAGTGGAAAATTTCAGAGATAACTGTTCATCTCATCATCACACGTGATTCTGAATCTGAGACTTCCACAAGAATCTTTGGCCACTAATCTCTCAATGAGGCCATTAGGCTGCAGACCAAACACACCGAGCGGGCGGCTATGTTCCATCGTTAGCGAGAGAGAGAGAGAGAGAGAGAGAGGGAGACAGAAAAAAAAAAAGACATTGAATACTGTGTTGCAGTTTTATGGTCGGTTAGGAAAATCTGTGAGCTGGTTCACAACAGCTCGACCTTCCAATGTGGCGACGTAGTTGAACATTGCAGCGGAACTTCGTAGCCAGTCGTTGCTGCGAGAGACTGCGGCAAGAGGAATGTCGTAGCGCGTCATCGAAACGGGACATTGTTTTGGGGGGGGTGACATCGCGGTGTAACATCGTAGCATAAAGTTGTAGCATAACATTGTCATGTAGCGTAACTTCATGGTGTGCCATCATAGCATAACGCCGCAACTAAACACCGTTGTGAAATGTTGTAGCATAACACCGTATCATAACAACGTAGCGTAACACCTTAGTGGAGGATCGTAACATGAAGCAGTCGTGTAAGACTGTAGCACAACAAACATAGCGCAACATCCTCATAGCGTGATGCTGTAGCATAGCATAGTAGCATAAAAACATCGCATAACGTCGCGTAACAACGTAGCGTAACAACGTAGCGTGACAATGTAGCGTAACAACGTAGCATAACAATGTAGCGTAACAACGTAGCGGAACAACCTAGCGTAACAACGTAGCGCAGCCCCATAGCATGAAGCCGTAGTATAACAACGGAGCGTAACACCATAGCACAACTCACTGTAAGGACGTCAACATTTTTAATGGACTGTCGAGTTCCAGACCTTTAGATGCGCTACCACCTGTGCAAATTGTACACAACGTTAACACTGGTATGATTCATCTCTCAAAGTTACTCGAAAAACACAAAGCAGTGAGCTGCCACACACGTGCAAAGGCCCAAAAAGCTGCGTCGGGATCCCAGTCAGGTGGTTTTGTCACTACAGGCGAGAAGAAGTGGAAGAAGTCATTTGATCCATGGCTAATATAAAACATACTGACATTAGCAGCTTTAAACTGGATCCTCTTAAGAAGCACGCTGTGGTCAGACCGTCACGCTGGCTGCCGCTAACGCCTAAGAGCACCTTAACACACTTTCCCCTGCGGTGTGTGCGCGCGTGCATAGGTGTGTTAATGAGCGCTACCTTCGGAATGTGTGCGCGTGTGTGTGCAGCGAGTCGATTCGGCTCTTTCCGTGTCACGGCATGTTTTAGAGATTATGGTGACTTTTACTCTTAATGACTTCATTTGGATCGCGTTCCTTCCACAGAAATTCATTTGCAGCGCACATTTTCCCTCTCAGAACTCTTCCATGTCCAAAATAGAACTTCAAGGCAAGCCAATTCATTGGATACACCTGCGCAAGCCGACAATAAAAATGTCCGCCTTGAGAACTAGAAAGAGTGCACAAAAATCTTTAGTTGAGCAAGGATCTCATCCATGGCGAAGCAATCCGGCAGACTTTTTTGTCGCATTCTAAAATGATCTGCCTGGATGTTTCAGCGGCGCTGGTTGGTTCACGAATCATTCAAGGACAGAGGCGGCCTGCAGCTCGTCGGATTATTGACCTGGTTGCTGCTCTTGCTCAAGTGTTTGCTTTCGCGACGTCTCGCTCTCGTCATAGTCGTTCTTGTTCTCTTAGTTCCACGTTTTTGCAAGTATCGTTTTTATTTAATCATTTTGATCTTGCTTTTCTTTTGTCGTATGAATTGGACTCTTGTCATTTCGTTTGTTTTCTCGGTGTTTCATTACCTTGCCTCTTACAAGCGGCTTTGTTAATTCCTTGTTTTTTCCCGGATCCTTGTGAGCAGCGTTTTTTATTTTGGACTTTGTCAGTTTTGTGTTGATAATAAACATTTTTGTTGTCACATTTTGTCTGTGTCTGCATTTCTGGGATCCTAAACATTATTTGGTTTGTTTCGAACCTGACAACGCCAAACTTTATCAAAAGTTTGACAATACTGTATTGATAACCATTAACTAGGTGTTTTTTTTCCCCTCCTCCCGACCTTGATCATGCATAATGGGCACTGTACAGCCTCGTAACTTGTGACTCTTCTTGACAAGGTCATTATGCTGCAAACTAACACATTCATTCAAACAGAACAGGAACAGTAGCTTATCAGGCAGTCTGACATCACAGATCTAATTCAAAATAATGGAGAATCTGAAGATAAATGGGGCATTCTTATTAAGACCTTGCCGCATTCTATCTTTTTTCGCTCTTGTTCATGAGAACAGTAGTCTTAATTTCTCTTGGGAGCCACAAGCTGATGCTGTCTTCGCTGTGTTTACTAATCTTCCCCCGACACAAATTTCTCAGCTGCACCGAGTAATACGGGTGGAATGTAAATAGCCTTATCTCATAAAGTCTAGTTATCCCTCGCCACCTTGGTTGTCCGCTGTGATACATGGTTAAAAGTCAACATGGGGGGATTAAGTTAGAAAAAGCCAAGCAAGAGTATCAGACTTCCTCTGTCAGGGATCAGCAGGAGAGCTACACGATTTAAATTATGCCAAAACGACAAACAAATGTCACGTGACTCGACAAAATGCCACAGACCCAATCACCGACGAGTTGACGAGCTGAAAAAAAAAAACTCAAGGTGCTTCTTCAGTACTGACACAACGTTGATGCACATAGTAGTGCTTGTCTTGCAAATTTTAGTACCCGACTAATTCAACCTGCGCTCGTCTGCTCCAGGGAGGGCCCTCAATAGCTGTAAATGGCATGAGACTGAGTTTTAATTAAACCCAAAGGGAGAAGTGTTAATTAGCCCATCGCCTGCTGTGAATGGGCTGCTAGCTGCAGGCAGATTCACACTTCATTGCTAAGGACCAAAAAAAAAAATGTAAATTAACGTAGGTGCATTTTAAGAATCTTGGGTTATATTTTGAATTTGTCATGCTCAAAATTGAATTCTATGTTGACATATGTACAAGGATGTCGGTATTGAAACAGGACTTTCGCAGATTCAGGACATTCTCAACCACTGTTGTGCAATCCAGGTAAAGCCTTCTCAGAAGATGGAAAAATCTTTGTCGACAAGGATTATTTCTTTTTAAACTGTGACCCTGCCTTGACTTAGCCATTCTTTTCATCCATTTTCATCCACTGCAACGCAGTAACTACCCGATGTTAGGCGGTTCAGAAAGACGATGTTAAAGTTCTTCATTTTCTTGCCATGCGCAGTGAACAAGGAAATGCATAGTTCCATTTCATTTGTATTCCGGTACCAGAAACTGATGGGCTGGTCGTTCTGGAAGAGGGAAGTTGATCTCTTCAACAAACAGCTGGAAGCTCACTTCCACCCCTGATATTTCTGCTGGGAATCTAAAATAACATGTTTCTCTTTGTTCGTTTCCAGTAGGAATTTGTTGATGCAAGGATGGTGAAGAGCCTTATAAACTATGCATGTCATCTCCCTCTGGCAAACACCAGCGGAGAGGATGATGGCAGGAAAATGTTGGTTTCCATTAGTCTTAAGGCTGGTTAACATAAAGTTGTCCTTGGGCTTTGTCAGGAAAAAAAAAAAAGACAAAAGTGGGGTGACTGCTTCATTAAAGCTGATGCATAACGGAAGCTGCACGATAAAGGAAAATGTATTGTTCTTCCAATTTATAGCAGAAACCGTCATCATAGTTAAGTTGGTCTTTTAGCCTAACCACAAAATCATCAGTTGCGAAGCAGGGAATCATACAAATTCACAGAACTCTTCCAAAAATGATTATTTGGGACCTCCCTGTGTGTCTTTCTACAATTAAATGTGGTTGCACACGTGTGCACGCCCTCTTATGAGTGGGGATATGGCTCTGGTCACAATTAACCAGTCCCATTCAAACCCATGTTAAATGGAAGTCAGTGTGTCTGATTTACCTGCGCAATATTCACCCATTTTAACGCTTTCATGCACCAAAAATGATGATCTGTACATCCTGATAACATGGTAAGCTGCCCACAGTAGTAACCGCTGTCCCTGAAAGGGTTAATAGACTTTTCCTGACGTATTTTTCTCTCGAGCAGAAACTGAAGATTTGGTGCTCAAACTGTTTGCTATTTTGAGCTGCACTTAATTTCTTGTAACTGGCCGAAGGCCCCACGTTCCAACTATGAAAAAAAAATAAATACAAATCAGCCCCATAACTTTATGTCACCACCACAATGCTTGATTATAGGTGTGGTGTTGTTTTGGTTGTGTTGTGCGCTCCAAAAAACACCTTTTCCAATTATGGCCAAAAAGCTCAACTTTGGTTTCGAATTTTAACAAAAACACAATTGGACTATCACAAACACAAATGCGAAAATGTGTTCCGGTCCGACGAAACCGAGGTTGAACTTTTTGTCCATGATTTCAAAAGACATGTTTGACACATAAGCCCTGTTCACACGGCAAGATTTACTCCGACGCTGCACCGAAGTATTTTGATGCGATATATTTTACACCGCAACAAATTTCGTGGAGCGTTCACACGTACAAGCCGCTGAGCGACGCTGCACCGACGTAGTGCCGAAGTAACTCCACTTGCGGTCACACGGGGCAGTATTTTGTTTCGCAGTAAAACATGCGCATGCGTAAAGAAAGAAGAAGGCGGGGAAAGGAAGTACCATTTCCCCTCCTTCGATTGTAACAAAAATGGCTTCTTCTCCGGAGAAATCAACGATGTGGTCGATTATCAGACGCCGCAGGAGAGCGAGAAAAGAAAGATTGCTGAAATACACAAGAGAACGAAAACAACGTATCCTTCGATTTCTTCAGCAACAAGTGGACGACTTCGTGGCGTAAGTACCCGTATGGACTCTTCCAGCGCGTAGCGAGGCCACTCCCCGGCAAGCGAGCATTTGCTCTGGAGCAAATTTACGCCAGTTGCGTTCACACGCGCACATTTGCTTCGGTGCTGCTTCGCAAACGAGCATTTGCTTCGGAGCAAATTTTTAAACCACCTCCCTGAGGTGGATCAAATTTAATGCGCACTAGGCTGTTGAGCGGCGCTACGTCGAAGTAAATTTGCACGTGTGAACGCTCCACTGGCTTAGAGTCGGTGCAGCGTCGGAGTAAATCTTGTCGTGTGAACGGGGCTTATGTTGTATGGCTCTCACTGAAATACATTTCCAAATATTTTGCTTCCATGGCTCCCTAAGTCAAAAGGTTCCCGACCCCTGCTCAAAATTGTCTCGAGGTGTGACTGTGAGCGCGAATGGCTGTTTGTCTATGTGTGCCCTGCGATTGGCTGGCAACTAGTTCCCATGTGGGTGAAGCGGATCGGAAAATGGATGGATGAATTTGACAAGAAACTTGTACTTGATATATACACACACACACTGCGTAAAAGAAAGACAGCATATGAAGGCTGCTCAGAAAGAGTATGAAACAAGTGAGACGAACAGCATGACCCAACCTAATCTGTGAAGAATTCTTGGCTCCATCCTGCGAATGGCGTCCAGCAGTTGACGTTTTCCCTTGTGGTCCTCTTTTTCTTTACAAAGTTCCTCCTCGAATTCTGACGTCCTTCATGTGCACATGGTGCGAAAATTGCAACAACTCTTTCCGCTTACCATCTCCGTGCAGCCATGTGTTGAGCACGAGGGCCTCTTTGTTAGCGGCTAGCAAGCTAGAGAAACACCAATGTCCACCGAGATGACTTTAATCGGACACGAAGCTTCAAAGAAAGATATTTTAGTCCAGCGAGATGATTGTGGACGCCCCGGGTGGAGGTTTGAGCACGTTGAAGACAAATTCAGGAGAATTTCGTCAAAGGTTGTCTGTCCCTCAACGCGGCCCAGTTCCGTACAGCTATCAAGCCACCAATTGTTAATACTCTGCATGACGGAAATCTGCCGACAGCTAGCCCGGTTGACCACCTTCAAAATAAAAGATTTGCCAACCGGCAGCTGTTTGGATTGAAAATAATGCTGGAAAATAATTTCTTGGCGGTAAGGCAACGACGAGCTCTGAAGTTGCGACGGAAAATTAAGTCAATGTTAACTCTCCCTCAATGACAAAAATTTCACCTAATTAAAAAAATAGAAAAATAAATTCATGATATTTTTTTTCCTGCAACCAGACGAGGTCTAAGGCAAGGGTAGATTCGTAGATCCGGTTCCTCGAGAGCCACATCCTACCTGTTTGAGGTGCTTCCCTTCTCCAACACACCTGATTCAATTGTTTTGGCCTCGACAGAGCTTGCTGATGAGCTCATCACTTGAATCACATTTCAAAACCATGCATGGCAGGCTGATTGAACACTCTAAAATTGTCCCTCGCTGCAAGTGTGAGCATGGATGGTTGTTCGTCTCTGTCTGCCTGTCACCCAGTTCAGGGTGTACTCCACCTACTGCCCGACGGAAGCTAGTGCCCGACCATCACCCCCTCCTTCTCGGCCATTGACTGATAAGCCAGGACTGTCTCCATGAGAAGACCTTGACGAAGCAGCTGCGGCGTGACACGCACACACAACCAGACAATCACACGCGCATGCATACACACCCTTATATAAGCGCCTTCATCGTTCCGGATTTCTTCTTTCCCTGCGACGTGAACTGATCTGCGGAGCGCTTGATCACTGAGCAGCTGGTCGGACGGGCCGCATCGCCCCCCCCCCCCCTTCCCATGCATCCGCCCCCTCATTACATGTTATGTCTTGTGACTTGTTGTAACTGTCATACGCCCTTTTACGTGCTGGGGTACTTTTTTTCTCCGAGACACTAATTATCCTTAGAAGAAGATAGTTCGAGCATGTTTTTTTTCCCCTCCTCCTCCCTAGTGGTTTCCTTCTGAACTAAGATCTCGGGGCGCTTCACATAGCGAGTACCGACAGGCCCTTTGCACTGTATTCAGATTCAGATTCAGAAAACTTTGTTTATCCCCGTGGGGCAATTAGAGTTGTGCGAGAGCGGCTTATTGTAGAGACAGTAAGAGCAAGGAAAGACATATCCCATGTTCGTCATTGTTTTCATGTTTCTTGTGCAGAGCGTGCCTGTTAAGTGAAATCTCGTTGCACAAACGTGGAATGACAATAAAGGCAATTCATTCATCATTCATCAAACACTCACCAGGAAGTGGTCATAATGGAACAGGGTTAAATGCTGTGCTTCTTTCAGTGTTAAATGGGATCGAGAATACAATGTAGCCATGCAAGATAAATGTCAAGTACAGTTAAAACTCGGTTTTCGAACATCTCGGTTTTTGACCAAAAATTTAGAGTATTTTATGCCTCAGATGATGAACAAATGTTGGTTCTCGAACGAACTGAGTACACTTGAATGCACCATTTGACTCCTCTCGCCTTACTTACACGAGGAAGTGACGCTTCCTCGTGTTGCTTTCCATTGTGAGCAGACGTGTTCAGGAAACGTTTTTATTTTAAAAAGAGCGTGGTTTCGGTTTTCGAACAATTTCGGTTTTCAAACAGCCTTCTGGAACGGATTATGGACGAAAACCGAGGTTTGACTGTAGTTGACAAAAACGTCATGTTGGTGTGCAGCAGCTCATTTTTTATTTTTATTTTTTTTCTACCACTCTTTCAGCATGCATAGCTTGCCCCATGCACTGATCAAGGCTGCCAGCTGTCTTATCAACCCAATGTCTATCCATCCATTGTCGAACAGAATCATTCGAGTCAGCGTGGAGAGCATTTTTTCTGACTTTTTTTTCTTTGCTACCCTTGGTAAACACCACCGAGGGCGTGGTTCAAAAATGCCACTGATGACCTTCAAATATGCGGCCATTCGAAATGAACAAAGCCAATTTCAAATTGTCCACATGTCGATAAAGCTGGAAGATCCTGCTCTCGTGTTGAACTAAATTTAGAAATCCAGCCCATGTACGCACACATGACTTGACTAGAGATCTCAAATTTCTTGTGACTCAGACCAACATGAACTTGTACGTTTGACAACATGATTGGGAGTTCAAAGCGTCAACTTTTATCATCAAACTTCATAATGAGGGGAAGGCACATCACAACTCAATGACAGCAAAGTTATTGAACGAATTTACATGATTTCAGGACACAAGACCATAATTTCTCCCATGAGCAGCCGGGATGGTTCTTCTCAGTTTTTCGAGAGAACTGCACATCTTACACCGCAAAAACTCGAAGATAAAACACACACGATGCCATGAATCGTGCCAAAGGCCGCGCTTATCTACACACATGCAAAGATGAGGAAAGCAAACGTTCTCATCGCAGACACAACTCTACAAACTAAAATATTCACCTCACTATCACTCTCAACCAGGCTAACTATCTCCAAACATTTAATCTCGTCATCTGCAAAACCACGAAACCTCCGATACACCATCAATTTACGGTCAAATAAGCCATCATCTTTTTCTGAATTGCTTCAAAATAAGACTCCCTTCCAACAGGAAGCTCACAAAGAAAGGTTCAATATCCTGACAATTAGGCAAATAAGCCCATAGTCTTTTACAGTCCCGATGTAATCCTGCAGGTACACTATTTTATGTGTGTTTAGCTGGCCAGCAACATCACGTTATATTATCCACATATTAAGATGTCTTATATTGAAAGGACATTAGCTTCCAGTCCATACACGTTAATTTCTTATCAGGAACCTTCTCATCCGTGGTCCAACCTTTTTTACTGATTTTTATCCCCATTTTGCCACTCAAAATTCCCTGTTTGGATGAGGTCGTGAGCCTCCACTCACAGTTACACATCCACTCTTTCAACTGTTCTCTCTCACTCTCTTGTTCTCTCTCAGGCAAACGTCCCACGCACACATCACATGCATTCTTGACTTGTTCACCCAGTAACACTCGTACATAATGGTTTTGTATTTGCCGCATATCAAACCATTCACTTTCCCGATCAAACTCTCCCCCTACATTTTGTTTTAAATCGAAGTGTTCAAACCTCTTTATTGTCTTTGTTCTCAAAAGTACTCGAAAGAACAACTCAATCAAAAGTACTTGAACCTTACTTTAGCAGGGATTGAGTGCTTGCTCAATCCCTTTCGTCCTTCAAAAATACTCGTTACAATTTCAAGAAAAAGTACACAAACAGGACCATGACAGTACCCCTCCCTCAAGGGACTGATCCCAGATGTCCCAAAACAGTCACCAAATGGCTGGGCTTGGCCTTACCAAGACGGGGCTCCACCAGACCGGGAACATGGGACAGTCTGACGTGGACGTGGCACGGCTCATCCTGGACACGGATGGGGCTAGGCCTCCCGTGGATGTGGCTTGAAGAGACGAGACGAAAAACATGGGACAGTCACATGACCTGCGCTGCGTGAAGTGGAAAGGGTGTCAGCCGGCAACGTGCTCCGCTATGTAATCCTGCAGGTACACTATTTTATGTGTGTTTAGCTGGCCAGCAACATCATATTATATTACCCACATATTTAGATGTCTTATATTGAAAGGACATTCGCTCTTTACGAACTTCCAGTCCATACACGTTAATTTCTTATCAGGATCCTTCTCATCCGCGGTCCGACCTTTTTTACTGATTTGTATCCCCATTTTGCCACTCAAAATTTCCTGTTCGGATGAGGTTGCGAGCCTCCACTCACAGTTACACATCCACTCTTTCAACTGTTCTCTCTCACTCTCTTGTTCTCTTTCAGGCAAACGTCCCACGCACACATCACATGCATTCTTGACTTGGTCACCCAGTCACGCTTGTACATAATGGTTTGGGATTTGCCGCAAATCGAACCATTCGCTTTCTCGATCAAACTGTCCCGACATTTTGTTTTAAATCGAAGTGTTCAGATTTCTTCATTCTCAAAAGTACTCGATATGACAACTCAATCAAAAATACTTGAACCTTAATTTCGCAGAAGCGCTCGATCCCTTTAATCCTTCAAAAGTACTCCTTACAATTCCAACAAAAGTACACAAACAGAACCATGACAGTACCCCTCCCTCAAGGGACTGATCCCAGAAGTTCCAAAACAGTCACCAAATGGCTGGGCTTGGCCTTTCTCAGACGGGGCTCGACCAGACTGGGAACATGGGACAGCCTGACATGGACGTGGCACTGCTCAACATGGACGCAGATAGGGCTCGGCCTCCCGTGGATGTGGCTTGACGAGACGAGATGAAAAACATGGGGCAGCCGCATGACCTGCGCTGCGTGAAGTGGAAAGGGAGTCAGCCGGCAACGTGCTCCACCAGGCACAGGGTGGAACTGGGACCAGTCCTTTATGCCTGCGGGGTCCAGTAGTGGGTCAAGTCATTCTGTCACGAAACGTGGTGGTGGACACCAAAAAGCAGGCAGGAGGGAGGAGCAGGGGGAACTTGACAAATTGTATTCATGAAATACAGAGAGAACTAAATCTCAAACAAGTCATAAGAACAAAATAAATCCAAAGTATCAAACAAAAACTATAGCTGCAGCTAAAAACTAACAGTGACCAAAACATGACAGAACAAACAATAACAGGAACAATGACCTAACACCAAGAGGTCATGCCGGGAGGCCTTTTATACAACTAATGACATCATGATCAACAGGTGTGCAGCTGCAGGCGGAGCCCTTACAGTGCCACCTGTTGGTCAAAAACACAACCACGACGGAACAATGGTGAAACCTTACCTGCCGAGGTCAGCAACTGCGGCAACGACTTTGAAGACGACTGCGCCGACGTTTCCAGGATGAACGTGAGCCCAATTCATGAACCCACACCTCCACGAGCACGGACAGCCAGCAAACGAAGCAGCAAATATCTGGAAGACATGGAGCTCTCCTTGCAGGGCAAGAGGCCCGATGCACAGAGGACCTAGTTCCGCTCACATGAAAACCTCCTCATTCATGTCGCCAAAGACCACAAGCCAGGTACTTTCCCCAAAGCACTGTCCATCGAGAGCCTGACACCTGACTTCACTGTCTCACGTCCATCCAAAAGCAAGAACCTGGATGACAACTGGTCTTGCCGTCCACTGTCTAAGCCCCCGTGCCGGAAAGCTCAGAGGGGCAGCCGGGTGAGCGCATACGACAATGTCCTCGTTCCCACCTATAAGCCAGCACGGGAGACATTCTCGACTTGGAAAAAGAGGACAACCTGTTCCCGCACTTGGATGACAT